GTTCTGCAGAGGTCCAGAGTTGCTACTTCATTAATGTAATACCTCAGATATTCAGAGATATGTGTATGTGTGTGTGTGAGTCAATCCGGGCGGGTACACTCAGGCGGCTTCTGATTATTGTCTGATGACAAACAGCTCGATCTACGGAGAGGACGGTAGGCAATGTTAAGAGTCTGCTTTGATTGGGTTTTATTACCATTTAAATACATCACACTTCTTTATTTAGTGGAAACAGTTGAAATGTGAAGTAAATGTTGTATGATTGTGCATATCTGACATCATTAAGCATGTTTCCAGGTTTTGTCTTCCAGCATGTCAGAGGGAGATTGGGTCCCTAAACTCCATTGACAGATTGTTGTAGTGTGTATTGTTCATTTTTTTATTGATGATCTTTATTGTTTTTCTATATCAACTGGACAGTGTTTTAGGGCTGAAATTGTGAGATATTTAAATGTATGAGGTGTGGCAGATCCAACAAAAACAGAAATCAAAATAATAAATGAATGGGACTAACATATGTTTCATATTGTAATGGACAGTGAGCATTATGTCATGTATCCTACCAACCATCCTCAAACTAGGGCCCATCCTTTCCTCACTATTGCTAACAGGTTAGTAGATACAAATTATACAGAGTATCAACAGATAATTTGCTAAAAACAACTATGACAAGGGTACTTTTCATCCCTACAGAATTCCCAGACAATATATGGATATAACAGGCACCATTTCCATTGAAATTGAGGGGGGCAGTAACCTGCTCGTGAACTCTGAACAGCAGGAACACTGCTCTTTAACAGCTCACAGAGACGAGTCAAACAGTGGGCGACTAAGATTCGCCACATCCTTTTGTTGTCGGGTTGAGCGAATGTCAAGGCCAGCTCAATAAGTCTTTATCTTGGCTCTGGGGTGTGTGTGTGTGTGTGTGTGTTAGTCAGCCAGCGTATATGACTAAAAGAGAGAGGAAAAATAATGACTACGTGCATATTCCTTTGTAAATGCCCATTGGTAAATGTGTGTATATGAATGAGTGTTCAGAGGAACACAGTACAGTACATGTGCTGTTTGCAGCGTCTGGAAAGTCCATTTGTGTGCGGTCAGGATGCCAGTGTCTCACACTGGGAGGCCGTTTGTCTCGCCCCTGTCCACTCCACTCTGCTCTGTCGCTCAGTGACTGACCCTTAATCAGAGGAAGGTTGTCTGATGCGAGCACAGACGGATAAATCACTCCTCACCCTGGGCTGCTATCTGGGTCGCGCGTAGCCAGGTTGTCCCGTCAGCGGACTGGCCCTCCGCCCGGGCCCTCCAAAGCTAACAGCCATGTGGTATTGAGCCCTTTGGTGAGGAGGACCCTGACTGCCACTGCCCTCTGGAGAATAATAGTCCACATTCTGTGCATATCAGTATTTATATTGCTGTGGAGAGGCTTTGTTGTTGATGTACTGTATCCTCACAATCTGCAGACTTTCAAAAGACATATCACTTTTTAGTCTGCCATTGTGTTTTGTCTTTGCTTCCTTCATGTAATTATTTTTTCAGTCCACATTGTCTCATTCCTGCCTTGATTATGTTGAAAATGTACTGTTTTTATTGCCTTTTAATAACTATATTGTCATTTTGGCCAAGACTCTCAAAAAAGAGATTCACAGAGACTATTCTGGTAAAATAAGGGTTAAATACTTTTACTTTTATGTATATATTGATATCTATTTAACAAAAACCAGTCTACTTAGGTAGACTTAGGCCTACCAGAATTTAAAATACTGCATGTGTCAGTTATGTCAGTCAGTTAGGGCTAATTGTTAGCTAGCTAATTAATGCTAGCTAACCTGCTAAATAATGTTAACAGCCAACAGAAAACCTCAAGCAGCATATGGTGAACAAACTTCACAACTACAAGATAAAAAAAGCATATTTTTTCAAGAATGTCTTTGCTTAACTGGCTGAAGATTATTCTAATGCTAGTTAACATTAGCCATAGGCTACTGGCAAGCTAGTGTAGCTGGATGCTATGTGGGTTATCTCTCATTATACTAGATAACCATATTTAATGTTATGTAAAGAAAGATACCAGAGTTAATAAATTAAGTTCAGTTTTTCTATGTCTTCTTGTTTCATAGATTGCAGAGGAATATTGTTTTAGTCCTACAAAACAGTACAACACTTCAAAAATGTGCTCAATTACTTTCCACCGCTGGCCATAACAAACTTTGTTATGTTTGCCATTGAACAATTAAAGCAGATGTTGTCAAGAGAAGAAAGAGATTAAGAAAATGAAAATGATTTGAAAACAATCACCAAGCCTCTTATTGTAATTACCAGGAATTGTGGTCAGTTTTTGTGCGGCCTAATTGAATAATGGTCATATCAGTGAACAAGTGGGAGTGCGGAGTGATTTACCGCACAGAGGAGCGTGCTTATCTTTCCCTCTGTCCCATGCAGGAAACACTGGGATGTCACCAGGCAGATTAAAAGCTTGGCACAGCTGATACGGAGCGCTCAAAATGGATGGGGTGGGGACCTCTCGACTGCTGTGCTACGGGTTTTGGAGGGGAGGGGACGGACGGTGGTGTGACCTTACAGTGTGAGTCCGGTTTGGCAGGGTTTCATTCAAAATCTGGGAATTCCACTGGAAGTTAAGAGGGGGGGAAAGATATAACATCATGTAACTTGAATGGAATTTTGAATAGTAAGCATATTTTTGGCTCAACGTTTGCCAAGTTTTCTTTTTTCTCACATTGAACTGCCCTCGAAGGAAAAATGGAATTAATCAACGTTGCTGTATACATATTAAAACAATTCTAAAATAATTGGGATTTTGGCTGCAAGTAAAGTTTAAAAGAGATAATATATTTGCAGGATCATTTGGTTGTCTTTTAATTCAAGTGATTGTCCGTTGGTCACTGTGCAGCTGTATCACTTATAATTGAATTCCTGACAGCTGCAATGCTTGGAATTTTAAACAGTTCTTACAAGGGCTAAAAAACAAGCTGGGCATTTTATTTCAAATGCAAATAGAGAGGCTAAACATGGCACAACATCAGAGCAAACTGCTGTTATTTTTCTATGTAGCCACCAATGTATTCTCTGCCCTTCAAGCAGAAGCACTCTTTGCCTCTCGAATTGAGTCGATATATGCAGACTGAAGAGAGGTGTTTGATGGGAACACAGGCAGACAGATCTGGAGGAGCAGCTGCATAGAGGACGCTGGGCCAAATATAGAACGGTGACAAGGGCCAAAACATATCACACATTTTTTCCCATTAACAGCATAGGTTTGAATCTAACTTGGCGCCAATTAGTTGCAGTATAGGCGCAAGGACTTAAAAATAGAGCTTGGCAGGGGTGGCAATACACCCGGAACGCAGAGACAGATATCTCTGTCATGGTGGCGTGTGATTTCACGTGTAATCATGTGAAGGAAAAATAGCAGTATTCATATCATCAGCTGGTTCGTTATAACTCTGTGACGTGAAAGGTTATGATGTGACAAATGGAGCTTCAGACATTCGTTGCTACCTGCCATGCTGCTCTGAGTGGAGAGCTTCAGCTCAGACCTATTTTCAGACTGATTCCAGAATGTTTGGCAGGACCTGTGCTGCTGTATCAGTGTGACCAGCCGTTTTTTTAACTGCTTGGTTTCAACATTTTGTCTCTTATCTCTGGAGCGGAGGGCTGGAATGAGGGGCATGCAGGCTTCAGGCCTACCTGTTTACTCTGAGGGCTTCCTCCATTGTTCCCTCCTCCCCAGCTTCCTTTGACGGATTTTTCACATTTTTGTGCTCGTTGTTGTTTTGGGAACGGGTCATGGGCTTGGCACATGGGAGCCTCCTGTGGCATTCCTGAATCTCTGTCTGGTCGGGCTCAGCAGGAATTCTTTCCTACAGCACATATCGTCCATTTCATACACACCTGAGATATTTTTACAGCAGTAAACCAAACAGAATGACAAGAGTGTCATCACTTTATCCTCTGATACTGAGCTGAAACCTGATAACTTTTGTATGTTCCTTTGATTCCTTAACGTCGGCCCCAGGTTTACTGAGGAATGAAGTCATCCCTTGTCGACTAATCCCTTTCACGACAGAAATAGACTCAACTCAGTCCAGTATTGGTGGCTGTTATGCAACTCATGATAGTTCATGGTTAAGCATATACACAACCGGCTAATTAATTGTATTTCTTGAACGAGCACTATTTTGTTGCATGTGTATTTTTGCATGGACTAAAAAAGCCTCCACGCGTTTGCTATTAAAGGAATGTCCGTGTTATTTTTAAGTGTCTTATTTTATACTAACACGCCCTTTGTGTGTTCAGATCACACAGGGTCAAAGACACAAATAATCCCCGATATGATTTAATAATTAATAAAGAGTTGTTTTTACTAAGAGGTAATAAGGTGAATGTTCTCTCCTTTCATTGAAAACAAGCGCTCTTCTAAGGGTCCTGCGAATGGAGAGCTCCTTAAGCCTTATTATCTAAAGAGGTCCTCAATGAGATTATAAACCCGACACCAATTTACCATCTGCTGCCACTGGTGGAGAAAACCCTGCTCTCCTTTTAGTTTATAATCTTCTGCAGGTACGATGCTGTGCTCTTATTAAAATATGCTTTGTTATACTGTACTGGTCTAATCACTCTCAAACCAGTGTTAGTATAATTTCACTTCACTCATTGTAAGAATGAATAGGGGGGATTTTATTTGTTTTAAAAATGATTTTGGTTAAGACAATATATCCCTAGGGGGAAAACATCTATACAAACATGTTTCCGGTCTATTTGACATATAAAACATATATTGAATAAATCTCAGGTCCTTAGTCCACCTCTTCGTCCTGCTATGACAGCTCTACATACATCTGTGCGACACACCTTTCCCAAGAGGATTTCCAAGCAATGCACTTGCAGCGGAGATTACCGTTGTGCAAAGATTAAGCAAATTAACCAGGATGGTGTCTCCAGAAATAAACTGTTGCTGTGCACTTAGTTCAACAGCCTTCGCCATGTAGACCACGGAATAACATTTGATGAATCTTTTCAAAACAGTTGGGAATTTTATGATGCCGTAAGGTGAGTGCAATTATTGTATATTTATTTGCTTGTTCACTGCCTCCAGTTATAATCTGTATTTGTGTGCTACACTTGCAGCAGTAGAAATTGGTATGGTCATAAGTCTTAAACAAATCTTCTTTTTGATTGGAATTTGTTGCTCACAATTACTACAAATTTTCCTCCTGAATATCCCAAAGATAATGTTATGTTGGTATATTAAATACATTTTTGATTATCATTTTTTAACATAATCACTTTTAGCTAAAAGAAAAATAAATTATCACTTAATTTCCCATGTGACATGTACAATAACCAGGAACTGTAATATTCAAAAAGTTGTAATTGATGGATTTGAAGTGTTTTAATACATCTTATTTTTAGTAAATACAACATAGGCTTTAGGTTTACATAGATCACAACATTTTATTTAAATTATTTTATGTACATTTTCTATATTCAGAGCATAATACTGAAATGTGGTATACTAAATAAATACTGGTAAGAGAGAATAACCTGTCAAACATTTCTGTATGACTTAAGTTCTGTACTGTGTTGAAAACCCAGGTAATCAAATAATTGAAGATGCCAGTCACATGACAGGTTTCTCAGAAGTCACGTCATTTACCTGATGGCCCGGTCCAACGAAAACAACATATGTTTACAAGATCTCATTTGGCTGTTTACACCTCATGAACCATTTAAGTTAACATCGTGTTACGTTTCTGTGTTGACCTAATTGCAGAAGTTGACATGCAAATGTCTCCTTTTATCATAAACCAAACTATATTTTCTTCTTGTCACGATTATTTGTTACTGCATCACTCACAGCTATTAGGCTATTTAATACCTTTTTTCTTTATGTATTCATAAAACTGGACAAAACAATATATGTGAAAATTATTGTTTATTGTAAAAATGTCAAATGTTTTATGTGAAGAAGCAACTTGAGAAACCTTTTGAGGTTCCTCACCATTGATTCTGTGGAGGAAGCTTTTCTACTGAGGAATCATAAACATCATTACTTCACCATTTATTGTACTCTCTGCCAACGAAACCTAAACTGGGAAGTAAAAAGTACCCTTATGTGTATACTCAATATCTAATACTTCTCTTATGCTCGCCTTCCAGCCAATCAGCGATGATGAATGAGACGGGGCTTCGGAGGGTCCTCCCGGAGCAGTCATTTGGGAGTGGGTACACCTTTGGCACCCCCCGCCACCCAAGCCTCATCGACCCCATCTTATCAAAGAGGGTCTGCTTCTACAAAAGTGGAGATGCTCAGTTCAATGGCCTGCGCATTGTCATTAACAATCGCACCTTTAAAACATTTGATGCGCTTCTGGACAGCCTCTCTAAAAAGGTTCCCCTGCCGTTTGGGGTGAGGAACATCACCACCCCCAGGGGGGTTCATGCGGTCCATACTTTGGATGAACTGGAGGATGGAAAATCCTACATTTGCTCTGACAGTCGGAAGGTAAAACCAGTCAACCTGGCTCTGGCCAGGAAGAAGCTGGTGCCGTGGTACCATGCCAGGCCTGTTAGTTCCCGTCGTCGGACCGTGCAGCAGGCCAGGTTTTTTCCTGGCAGGAACATCCACAAGCAGGAGTCGGTGCTTGCGCACACACCAAAGACGCTACTGGTTTTCCGCAATGGTGACCCCGCTGTAAAACACACTGTAGTGCTTCACAAGAGGACTACACCCACTTTTGAGTCCATCCTGGAATATATTTCAGAGCTGATGCAGTTCCATGTGGTGAAATTACACACAGCTGATGGCAGACGTGTGAGTGTTCTCCTCCCAACACATACAAAACAATTCCTCTCAAAGAAGGAAATAGGATTTTACAACCGCCATAGACTGGAGATTTACTATAAACACCAAAATATATTCACTAAACTTTCCCTTAATATACCAAGAAAGTCTGCTGTACATACTAACAAACGGATTGACAAAGTTATTCAGGCGATATCGGAATTCTAAAAGCACACTCAAGTAAAGCCTCATTCTTCATTTAAGAATATATTTGACTTAGAGCACAAAAATGATCATTCAGCCCTTCAAGAATGGACGTACATTCCTCTAAAAGGAGTCTGTTCAAAGACAAGGCAAAGATACGTTTCAGGTTTTGGAAGCATTATTGTTGCCGCATAGAAGACTGGCTTGAACCTGGCCTGTAAACAGACGTCACATGAGGAGAGAGAGTGGTAATCTTCTTTAACAACTCACCCTAATTCGTTGAAAGGCATTCTGGGATACTGCTCTGTAGGTCAAGGATCCATTCTAAATTCAGAGCTTGCTGGTATTGCAAGGTGCCATTTTAACAAATAATACACGAATAAAGACTTGTCATACATATACATGCATGTCATTTAAATCCCTAATATATTTAGATTCAGGGTTTTTCTATTCTACCTATTCTATAAAGTGCTAACGTGATCAAATGCCGTTAGAGTGATGTATGTTTCTGTCTACTGCAGGTGGACGGCCTTCCAGGCTTGATATTGTGTTCTGGGACAGTAGTGGCTGTCGGCAGGGAGCCTTTCAGGCATGCAAACTACAATGCACAGAAATCACCAGCTCAAACCACGCTGCCTACCAAACGAATGGGTCCCAGAAGACTAAAGGCTCTAAAACGTAGGTTTACATAAGAATTAGTTTGGTTTTTAGATGGACCTCTTTGTAATCATTTTGTTTTGTTGAGTTGATGTATTCTCAGCTACAGTGTGTCTGCAGTAATCTACCTGCTCTCATGGGATGAAGATTGGGGAAGTGCTGAGGCAATGATATTATGTATTATAATACCGTGGGCGACCTACATACAATGCCTGTGGCTGTCGGCTATTGTTCTTTATGAACTGTGAATAGCTGTACTCTCTTTCTAATGTTTATTTTTTCTCTTTCTTCTCCTTTCATGCTTCTTGGGTTTACTCTTCAAACCGCCTGCCTATCCTCTTCAATCATTTCTCCTTCATTTTTCAACATGAACCTTTTTTTGGCTCTTCTGACTGACTGAAAAGGTAAAAAAAAGTCACAATCACACACTCCAAAGTCAAGAAATTTCTCCCTGTCGTCGGAGAGGTACATCGTGAATCGGATTCACAACTCCATCGCAGGAAGTTCAAGCGACCAAGCCAGTCACTCTGTCGAGTTGGAGTCGCGTCATCTACTGGAGTCAGTACCAGAAACACCAGACACCGGCCTTGGAGCTCAGGAGCAGGACAGCTGCCTGCCCACAGATGACGACATTGAGAAGTCCTTTCGAGTGAACCAAGACGGTAGCATGACAGTGGAGATGAGGGTGCGGCTGACAATTAAGGAAGAGGAAACCATTCATTGGACGACCACCCTGGCACGCTCGAGTGTAGCCAATCAGCTTAATGTGACCTGTTTACCGGAGCCTATGGCAGAGCAGGAGATCAGCTCACTAAAATCAAACTCACTGGATTTAGAAAGTCCTGCTGCCTCCATAGACACCATCAACAAGGACAAAACTCATGATAACAACGACCGGGATCCACCTTCGCTGGGCAATGGAGTTTTCAGTGAGAGTAATAATGAAGAGGACGACAGCAAAGTACAGACATACATGGAGTCCCCTAGGAGTGCTCCCACACCAGGGCACAAGCAAATTAGAAAAAAGCAAGCCTCTGTGGAGAGCATAAAATCAGTGACAGTAGAGGGGATTCAGGAAGGTATGGTGGGTTCTTACTCCTACAGAGAGCAGACAGAAAATGGAGCAGTGACAGAGCAGTACTGCATGGTCAAACAGAAGAGCAGCAGACCAGTGCCCAAACCTAGAAGACAGAGCTCTGTGGATGCCAACGTAAACGTCAGAAACGTATCCACGTTCAAATCAGCAGGGATGACTGAGATCCAACAGATTGAATCCGGTGGAGAGGAGGTCTCTGAAACTGTCTTACACGTATATGAACAGCAGACCTGTCAGGATAATTTCTTGGCAAACCTTTGTTCAGAGGGTATGTCTGCTTTTGGGATTCCTTTTTGCAGGCCGGCTACTTCAGAAACTGGACAGCTCTCCTCCAACAATGAGTTTGAACCCCAGCCCTGGAGACCATCGACAGCTTCAGAGTCAATTAGCATCTGGAGGGCTGAGAGCACGTCAGTAACATCTGATTTAACCTTGCCTTCACAGAGGACGGGTGCAGTTCAAGCTACAAATGCTCAACAACGATTGCCAAAGCCCACTAAAGGCAAATCAAAGCCCCAACAAAGAGAGGTCAACAAAGATAAGCAGGTATCCACGAAACCTAAAGTGATCAACAAACGTGTTCGTCGGCTTACGTCACCAGGGAAAAGACGAAAAGAAAATTCTGCAGGAGCAACCGAGAAAAGTAAGAAAGCGAAGACTTTCTCCAGTGCTGGGTTCATTAAGAAAATTTATGGGAATAAATCAAAATCAGCAAAAAGCATGATGAAGCAAAAAATAGGACCAATACAAAATGGAGACAGTTGTGTTACGACAGGGAGCTCACAACAGTTGGGCGACACGATAAAATGTATTCTCAAAGACTCAAACATACCATCAGCATTGAAAGAGACTACAAGTGAGACCGTTTCTTCTGAAACATGCCGCCCGAATGCTGCTCCCAATGAAGTAAGCCAACCACGGGGAACACTGACATGGCAGACATCAATGCATCACAAGAAAAAGAAAGAAAACGAGTCCTGTGATGTCAGCGAAAGCATTTCACTGCCTGCTTTTAACTCCTCCAGCGCTGTCACTAATGAATACGTGGAAACCTGGCTGGAGAAAGCCCGTCTCAACCCCTCAGCCCACCCAGATGAGGAAAGTAAAAAAACAGAAGCACTTACTCTTGTACAAACAGAAAACGGCAGGTGTGTGGAGTCTGACAATAAGAAAGGTTTGATGATTGTGGCAGATGAGGTAAAGTGTTTGGAGGACACATCAGGACTACCAACTCTCAAAATGGGCCCGCTGCCTGAGGATAAACTAGGAGCTTCTGTCAAACAAAGAATCCGGTCCTTTGAAAACAAATCATCAAGTCAATCAATGGAGAAAGCCACCACAAACATAGAAAACTATGATCATTTAGCTCACATTAACACAGACAAAATTAAACCTCTCTTCTGTTCTGAAATAATTCCGCCAATCAATGAGACCTCGACAGAAATTCCACCAGGCAGTGAAGTGGGAAACAAATCAAGTCAAATCAAAATCTCATTTAAAAAAGAAACACCTCCAAATACATTTTCAATGGAGCTACCACCACCACCTGCTGAAAATACAGATATACCAAACACAGAATATTCCATGATAGGTGCATCCTCAGAGGCCAGCAGCCTGGTACACAGGCTCTCATCAGTAAGCCGTCAAACGTCAGATAAACATCCATTATCTGTCAGTCCTACATCTGACAAGGCCGTATCACGTACCGACCACACAATGGAAATCACAACATCAATTCACCCCGACACTCCTTCCACGCAGAGCGCAGCACCATTACCAAGAATACCATCCATTAAAAGGGCCCCTTTGGTCAGTAATAAATCTCTTGACAGGAAAATGTCTCTCAGAAAGGCTTGTCTGGATAAATATACTTTATGTAGTGATGCCTGTTCAGAGACAAGCACATCATCTACTCCCATCAACACAGTTGGTGATAATATACTGCCAAACGGCATCTGTTCAACAGGGACACAACGACCCAGTGAGAGCCGACCAGAAGAGACACGGCAATCAAACAGCATCTCAAATTTGGAAAGTAGTCTGTCATGTTGTACTTCTGCATCTCCGACGAGTTTAGCATCTGAAGAGAGAATGTCATCATTCAGTATTTCATCAAGTGAGGCTCCAACACCAAGTGATCTTTCACTTAAAGAGACAAAAACAGATAAAACACAATTTTTTACTCCAAAAGAAGCATCGTCACCCAAACCCTTGGTGAAAAATGTCAAACCTATGAGCAGTCCATCTCCGGAGAGAAAATCCCAAACCAAGAAATTCCCTGCTGAACTTCCTCATAACTCTCCAAAACTATCATCATCACATAACCACCCTCCAGATATGGGAATACGAAGACATGCAACACCAAATGCTAGCCCCTCCACTGAGAGAAAGCTTAACAGACCTAAACTACATAAGAGACGGTCTCCATATTCTCAGTCTCTGGACATGGCGTCCTCACCTGTCAGACACAAGTCAAGTGGAAAGCTGCTGTCAAGAAATCTCTCCTCAGACAATGCATCAGAACCAACAAATAAGACACAAAGGAAAACGTCATCCCAGAGGAGGCGTCACAAAACACCACAGTCCATAACCTCAACAGCTGAACTGGAAAAAACACTAACTTGTACCACTCTCATGCCGCTGGATGCTGATCAGAGTGATGACAGTAAGATGACCAATGACCTAGAGAAATCCACAGCACAAATAATCCCACAGCCATTAAACATCGCAAATCAGCCGGAAATGAAACCCGTGCTTGAGAAGATTTGCTACTCAATAAAGTCAATTAGACAAATCACACAAAACAAACGTCCGTCGTGTCTGGAAAAGTCCAACAGCCTGCCTGACTTCTCCTCTCATGTGGCCTCTATGTTTGGCTCTTCTTCTAAAGCTCTCCTTGCTTTCTTGTCTGTCATGACCCTAAAAGAAGGCCTAGACGACATAAATATGAATGAGCTAAATGCAAACAATGTCAGCTGTGCCGAAGCTTTGAAAATGATCGATTCTCTCAGAAAATGTGCCAGTATTGACGATTCCCACGAGTTAAAAGTTAATTTGTCCGATTTACAGCAGTCAGCTTCCAAACAGCTCCTGCAAAGTTGGAAGGGCTTTCAGGATCTCAGCGACAAATGCAAGAGTCGCAGCTCAACACCAAATAATTCAGAGCAAGAAGTCGTGGCCGAGGCCGGTACTGAAAAGGACTGTGGCATTGACGAGATTGTGGATAATCTTGACATACCTAAGAGGCTCAAGGAGGAGTTGACCTCTCTTTCAAAAGTCAAAAGTTGCAGTAATGATGAAGAAAAGATTGAAAAAGTGGAACTAAAAGATAACAGTAATCCTGAGATATCCCATTTCTCCACAGAAGATGCTGTTAATGTCAGGGATGTTGCTCAAGATGAGAAAGTTAATGTTGATGTGAGCTCCATTATTAAAAGATTCACAGACATTAACCAGCCAAAACAATCGAGCACGGGTAGTATAACTAAAGACACTAAAGACAAGGACAGCCTGTATGAGCAGAACGGTGCTGACAAATGTCTACCAGCTGAACCTATCGATAAACAGAGACCTGAAGACAAGCAGCTTTACAGTACAGTGTTCTTTGCAAAAGATAAAGGGCAGCAAGGCCACAATGGAGACAAATCAAACCAAGAAAAGACTCAAATGAATGGAGTAGTCAGCAGCAAGAAAAGTCTTGAACAAAACCGTAGTACCTCTGAAGCAGAGGAGCAAGACATGGAAGGTAATCAGCTGCAGATGCACAGTGAGGAGAACATCCCTGAGAATGAGTTTACCCATGATGAAGAGTCAGGTTCAGATGAGGAAGGGCAGCACAAGTCAAGAGCCACTAAAGATTTAGAGCAGAAGGTGCTTTGTAAGCAAGGTGTATCTAGCACATGCGACTCAGATGTTGATGATCCACCTTCAGAGGAAGAGCAGCCGGAGGTTGAATGTAAAAGACTAAAGGTTATCATTGAGGAAAGTTTGTCTGGCAATGAGGAAGAGGAGGAAGAACACCGTGATAATCTTCCGGATCACACGGAACAAACAAGAACATATAGAGAGTTAAAGACTTTGATAGAAGAGGCAGAGGAGGAAGAGGACCACCATGCTGATGAAACACACATTTGTGATACTGTAGGAGGGGATCCAAGCCAATTTATAGAAAATCAGGATTCATATACCAAAAATGACAAAAGCAGTTTGATAAAGTCTGACAGCTTAGCAAAGACTTATGGATTTAATGCAGATGAAGATAGTGGGAATGACCACAGCAGCTGTGAGGAACACGTAGAGACGGAGCAACCAAAGGTTGAAGACAAACCAATCAACAACTCAAGCTACGATGATGAAGAGTCCAGCTCAGAGGACGAACACGCCGACATGGACAGATATACAGAAGAGAGCTGCACAGAATATCAAGAAGCTCCTGCACAGTCTAAAGATACCAAATGTGACAAGGTTGTGGAAAAACTCAAGCATCAAAGTGAAGAGATAATATCCCAATCGGTCGCAGAGAAAGTGACTCTTCTGGAGAAACAAGTTGCCGATGCCCATAAGACAACAGAAAGTTCTGCCATCAGACGATCCTCACTAAGACATGCCCCTCCTGAGCCAGATGTTGAGGACTCACCCTCTGAATTGCCCACATCTCAGTCGGCTCCCGGCAGCCAATCGGCTCCTCAGTCGTCATTATCATTCAGCTACGATTCCAGTGGTGTCATAACATCGGAGCCTGAAGGCAACAGGGTCAGATCCATTAGGGACATGTTCCTGGCAAAGAGTGCCACAGATATCCCGCACAGATGTTTGCCAAGCACGAACCCATCGGAGACCAGAGCAGAGACCTCAGCCAGTGCCGGGTACCAGTCTCAGACTTCAAGCGAGCTGTCAAGCAGCGAAGACGATTCAGCGCGGAAATCCATCACTAAAGGCTTTGTGAGGAGAACAATCGAAAGACTTTATGGCAAGAAAGATGCTAAACCTGACGAGGAAGCGGGTGAGAGGCCGCCATCTGTGCCAAAACAGAAAAAGAAAGAACATTCAAGCCTTTTCTCTCCCTTCCACATATCCCGGTCCAAAGCAAAGTCTGAGTTGTCTTACTTCAATTCCACTAATGCGTTGGACACCTTAAGTGAAGCGACACACTGCGTCGCTTTTAGTGCACAAGTCGGGCCTGAAGACAGAGTCTCTATTGATAATGAACAATGGTTCCTTAGAGAAAACACCCCGATCAGAAAGTCTGTGTCAGACCCGGTCGGAATAAACAAAAACTCCACAAACTCTCACGACGAGGAAATATGTGAGGACACAGAGGAGAACACCCCATATTCCCTTTTCTGCACAAAGTCTGAACTGGAAGACAAGAAGTCGTCATTTTCAAGGAAGTGCAGCTACTTTTCTTTGCCCCATAGGAGTGACTCAGATGCGTATCAAGACGACCTGAGCACAGTCAGCAAGAGCAGCGCGAATGGTGACGGCACCGTGGACACAAACGGGGACTCGGAGGACACCAGGATGTGGGCGGAGAGGAACGGCACGCTGCCCGGTGTCACCGACTTTAAGATGAAGGACAACAAAGTGCACCCGCTGATGGAGCCTCCACCTGATGGCGAGGCCGTGGTTGTGCAGCCGGGGAAAGGTCAAGGTGTTGTAAGCAGGAGGAGTCAGGAGCCTGACATGTTGGACATACTTTACAATTTTTGTGGTCAGAATTGTCCCATCCTGTAAGGACATTTTAGCTTTTTAACAAAAGACTAAGGACTTTTTTTTGGGTCTAAATAAGTGAACATAGTTGAGCTAGAGCATAAAATATTGTTTTGGTGCCTACATTTTGATGTTGCCATAGCCTTGGCATAATACAGAATACTCATTTGAGCCAACTGTCGAATGTGTTACAAGCCAATGGATTGACCTTTATTCAAATTTTACCATGTTTGATAAGAGCTTGTCAGTTTATTGTAAAAGTAGTGACCGTTGTTTTCGTGACAGCTTAAATGTGTATTTTCCACGCACACCCCAAAGCAGCTCTTTTCATCTTATAGGTTGCCTGTCAACAGATCAAGTAGCCGGAGCATTACTGTAATCTTGTTTTTAAAGCTCTTAAAACAGATCAAGTCCCTGCAGATGTCAGGCAGCGAGGCCAATCCGCACTGCGGAGGTTAGCAGCTCAGGTCCGGGATGAAGTTCAGGTGGAAATCATGCTTAGAAAAAGCAACTGAACATGACACAGGCTGAGGGCAAAATGTAGAGATTGTCAGTAAATATGCCGATGCTTGATTTAATGTTTTGTATCTTGGCGGTCTAAAGTGTAAATAAACCATTATTGACTTTTACTAAGTAACCATAGCTTAATATGTATACAATAACCTGACCTTTATAATTAGGATAGATGGTTTCAATGTGGCAGCTGTGACATTTTTGTCTCTTTAAATTGGTGTGTGAGAATAAAAGTGTGTATTTACAAATGTTGAGTATTCTCTTTTACTTTGTGATGACCTTTTTTTCCCAGACTCCAGTTGAATCCCTGTGTATTCTGGATTGGGTTTAACGTAGAGTGCATTTAGGGGGAAGTCAGAGCGAGAGGATCCGAGCGTCAAGAGAAAGTCAACAGGCCAAGGTGACCGGCGCGTTAAAGATACCTTAGGAAGCTCCGCTGGGTTGTTTTCTCCTGCTGATCAGTGGGAGCTGTTTTCTCACTCTCCGCCTGAGGAAGTATCCATGTTGTTCTTAGGTTGTTTTGTTTCTCAGAAGTTGCCATCGAGCTGGTCCGTGTTGTGACAGGAGTGTCGAGGAATGCACTAAGAGGGGAGTGTTTACATCTGCAACTACAAAGAGAAAACAGCCACACAATTTCCGCCATTTTTGCACTTATCTTAAACGTGAATGTGTCTTAAAAAGCTACAAATTATATTCATTTTCATTCTGGGGATAATGAGTGTATTTACAGCAAAATAGTGCTCAGTAAAAACTTTTAAACGTCACTGACACACAAACAGCAATGTCCACTAGATGGCATTGGTGACCAACACAACAACAGGAGTCATGGGGTCAGCAGTAAATGTACGTAAAAGCTCAGATCACACGTTTCTTCCAAGAAGAGAACCGAGCGAAAAAAAGGTTTTAAATCGTTTATTATTTAAATAAATATTTACATAACAGCTTCGTATAAATCAAATGTATTTTTCTTACACGACACATCTTTCTAAAAGCGTCTGCTTGAACAAGGAAGAAGAAAATAAGGGATGGGTTACAATGATACTGTAAATCTGTGTTGAGAGGGGTGTAGAGGTTCACCTCGAACGCTCGCGTTGATCACTGAGCAAATATTCCCGTTTGCAATCGTAAAGGCTGAACCTGGACGACATTTACCATCGCTCCAATACCAGTCACCACCTGGGCCTCCAGGCCGTGCTCATCCATTATAAATGTCGTTATAGGATGCATAACTCTACATGATAATTTGATACACATTTTAATTTGTTGTTACTAAAGGAATAGGAGGATGATACTCTATACTAACTCAATAAAAAGGCCATGCCGCATGGCTAAGAAAACAAATCAACTTCTTAAGTCTCACATTATTCATTCAGGCACAAACAAAGCAATAGACAGCCTCAGTGAACTTATAAGACAGCACTCACACAGTAACGGCTACAATGCCCTGCTAAACGGTGAATAGTTTATGGCTCAGCTCGAAAACACAACGTTTCAGGCGAAGTGATCTAAAAAAAAAATTAAATTAGAGCACACAATTAATGCCCAAGCTACATTTCTAACCCACATCTCTTCAACCAGATTGTTGAAATGAGTCGCTCCTGGTTTGGATGATCAGTTTGAAACGTTAAAATAAAATGACAGTGAAATCATGGAGGGGGAGGGGGGGGAAGACAACTTTAACCGCCCAATAGAAATGGTGTAGTTGTGACCTTTATTATCGCTGCTGCTTATTACACAACCTCAGACGAAGGCAGCGTCACTTTTAACTGTAAAGAGATGAGAAAAAAAAACTCAATGTACACATAGTTTACATCATGTAGTTAAAAAAACATTCAAATTGAATGAGGACAAAACTCTAAAATAACCGTTTTATTTAATGCAACCTTATGTTTCTCAGGGATAAAAACAAAAAAACAATGAAATGCTCTTTGTTTTCTATTGCTGTCAGGTCATGCATGTAAACTCTATACTTCGAATAAAACCAATTGTTTACTTAAAAATGTATAAAGAAAAATACTCTTGTTTCAAAATACTATTCAGGGAGGGATTAAAGGGTGAATTAATAAAATGTTTCAACAACACCTTGTTGTTTTCATCCTGAGATTTAAACCAAAGGAGTAATTTACAGTTTTTATTTAAAAATTGTTATGCAAATACAGATTCAGCATCAGACACCGTTTGGAGATGGCGCCTCCCGTTGGTCAGTCAAATCCATGGTTACCTTTCCTGAAGACTGTCATACTGCATCAGTGTTGGGCTGGGATGGGTGCGTTCCACTCACAAAGTTATAAACCAAAAACTGAGAGGTGTCAAAATAATGCGTGGCAAAGAGTTTCCCATCAGGCGTGGGGTCGGAGAAAGCGATCTCGTCTTTGCTCAGGTATGAACCGTACACGAAGTTGTTCCTGTGCGAGAAAAACAACAATGAGGGTGTCAATTTGTTTTTTAAGGTGGTATAAACATCAGACGTTGGTGTTTTTTTTTTGTTTTTTTTGAAGACACACTGACCTGAGGCACTCGAGCATGCGGGAGGCGATGCCCTGGCGTCTCATCATGTTGACCACCCAGATGCGGCTGATGCCACAGATGGCCGGCTCCGCCGTTGTGGAGCAGCACCAAGCTCGCTGACGCTCAAACATCACCTTTTCTCCCTCCGAACCCTCGGGCGTTGGCTCCTCGATCACCCTGTATCCCTGTGATCATTCACGAGGCTCAGTTTACATAAAGCTAATATGCACTCTGGTATTCTATTATTGTTGTTTTTGACATGATGAACATGTGCCGATGACACGAGATTGCGGTCGCTTACCTCTTGTATGTGCTCTGCTATGAGGCATCCACCCACTTTCCTGTCGTTGGAGATGAAGAGGAAGGTCTTGGTCTGAGAGGGACACTTGGTCTCCACCTGCTGGAAGCCGAGGTCGTTGTCCACCATCTCCCTGATCTCCTCCACCTGAGAAACAAACAGTTAATGTGTAGTCAAGAAATAATATGCCGGTGTTTGTGGCTCTAAAGGATACAATAATCCTTTAATGGCAAAGGTCCCTGTTAACATACTGTACCTTCTTTATAGCATATTTGGGATCATCTGGCAGGACAAGAATGATCTTGCCGTCAGGATACTCTGCCAGTATCCTCTCTTTTTTCCATCCCTGAAAAAATGATGGGAAAAACGAGTTATGTAAGGATGTTTTAATTGTCCTCATGAGGCATTCATGTTCTTCATTTGATAAATACAGTAACTTCTTAGAAGCTACCGATATTGTAAATGCGCATACTTCATTATAGTAAGTATTGCAACCGTTTACATCACATTGATCTACTTTTGTTTCATCAATTCGGTCATATTATCTACTAAAGTGTTGTTGTTATTATTATCGGTTATATACGAGACTTGTTTTCTAGATTCTCATAGCTACATCCTCTTGAATGCTGCTGCATTAACACCGTTTTCTTAACGGGATCATTGAATGTCATAAAATTACAGAAATTTGCAAGTTAAAAGGAGAAAAGTGTATAGAACATTTATTTTAAATCACTAAAGTCAGCGAGAGTTATGTTTTATATACTAAAGATACAGAATAATGAGGAGGCATCCAAGTACATGCCACATATATACGGTAGTTTCCTGTAATTGGTTCAGATTAATCTAACTCTTTGTGATTCATTTGGCAAATTCAAATAAACTTGGTGTGATGCTCGGGTATTTCTAGATGCGTCTGTGTATTGCCCTGATGAGTCAACGTTGTGAGACAGTAGGCAAGACAAATAAGACACGTAATAAGAGGAAACCTCCTCTCACCACATATTTGACAGCGCTGATGAACTGGTTGTGGAAGAGTAAATGTTGGGATTCATCTTCAGGGTTGGCAGCAGAGTAGAGCATCCCACACACGCTGCAGGCCACTGCTCCAAAGTGCTTCTGCCCTGCATCCTACCAGACAAAGAACACACAGATCACTCCTTGCATTTATGTACATCCTGCAAATATACAACAACTACCCGGAGTAATGTGTAACTTCTGAGCTCTAGTTTACTTGCTATAACCTGTACAATAATAACAGACAGACGCTCACAATAATGGTTTGGGTGCCATCTTTGTCAGCCTCCTTTAGCTTCTTGACTTCTTTTTGCAGACAGGCATCAGAGAGAGGAGTCCTGGCATCCTGCGGCTCCGCTGCTCTGCTGCGATACAAAGACACGTCACATTACCTCAGATCCCTGCTGCTACGAGGGAAAAAAAACATTTCAATTTTACTTGAGAGAAACGTCTTACTCTTGAGGTTCTTCCGGTGTCTTCTCGGCTGAATCGACCGTTTCTGTCTTGTTCTCCGGAGAAGGATCAACGCCAGTGACTGTAAGAAAAGGAAAAAGATCCTGAAACACCAGTGCACATTTTGTAAATCTAAAAATAATCTTTTGGCTTTGTGTTATAATAAGTAGCAACTGTGACAAGATATCGATTAAACCGTCTTCTTGATATTTAACATCTTAATATAAATACAGGAGGATGTTTTTTCATAATCCTGTGATAACAGTGATACCATGAAATAATGACACAACATTTTTAAAAATCTCACCAACTGTAAATAAATGCATACCTGCAGGCTTTTCTTCACTCTTCAGTGCATCATCTGACACTTTCAAGCCGTCTTCAGCGGGGATGGCAGAGGTGGGATCAGCTGTATCCTAAATAAAAAAGAGACACAGGATGAGTAACATCTTTCTTCCAAAATGCGGTTAGTGACACCCATTATGACAAGATGTATTTTTGAGTTACCTTGCATTTGCCATCTTCTGATGATGGTGCATTTGGGGTTTTCTGGGGCGTTGAACCACCATCGGCCGTAGAAGCAGAGGGCTCAGGTGTGGTTGAACCCGCAGCCTGAGACGTCATTAGCTGAGCTGCACTTCCACTTCCAACAGGCTTTAACTGCGGTGAAGCAGACGCAGCGGGCTTGGACTGACCCGGAGCAGCTGACACAGCGCTTGAATGGGGCGTCGTCGAAACAGGAGACTTAATTTGAGCTTTAACCGAAGGTCCGTGTTTTGAAGAAGCTGCGGCAGTAGCAGTGGCCTTTGACTGGGGTGCTGTTGCAACGGCGGGCGGTAACTGTGGAGCGGTGGAACCAGCAGGCTTTGACTGAGGCGACGCTGCGACGGCGGGCTTTGAATGACCCGAGATCTGTCCAGCAGGCGTGGTCTGAGCTTTGAGTGTCGCCTGGTGGGCGGGATGTGATGAAGCCGTGGGTCTAGATTGAGCTGCATTCGGTCGTGTCTGCTGCGCGGGCCTCGACTGAAGGCCGGGCTTTGTTGCAGCTACTGGTAATGGGTCATCATCCAGTTGAAAGTCATCAAAAGAATACTTGGGCCTGGGTCTGTATGGCTTGTACTCAACAGGCTTCTGTTTTGGCGCATTAACTCCGTTGGGCATGGGCGGGGGTACCGCCGGGAGCGTCCTCTTACCTGCTGATCTGGTCACTTTTGGGGTGGGCGCCGGAGCAGGGGTCTCTTTAGCAGTTTGAGCCTTAGTTTGCCTTGTGGATTTACGGGTTCCAGCATTCGGAGTCCCAGTTTTGGAGGCGTCCGCTTTGTCAGGTTCAGGTTTAGTGGGTTCACTTTTGGAAGTTTCCGTTTTAGTGGGCTCAGCCGTACTGGGTTCAGGCTTAGGAGGGTCAACCTTGGGGACTTCTGGCGTGGGTGTTGCAGGCTTGCTAGTTGAGGCAGGACTTGGGAGAGGTGTTTTTGATGGACTTGCTGCAGGTGGAGGAGCCGTGGTCACAGGACTCCCTGAGAATGGAGAGGATGAAGACAGGGGTACTTGCCAATCCATGTCTGAAAACATCTGATTTGCTTGGTCAGATTTAAGTTTCTTTACACGTGCCCAGGACATTTTCTCTCTCTGCAGTTCAACCTGTCTTAGTCTTTGATATCTGGTTAGCTTCTTTTTCTCGTGGGCTTTCAGTGGCACAGAAATCTGTGTGACGAAGAAACGCCTCTTTGGAGGCTCTGGAGCCGCCACTGCGGGAGGCTTGGCCTCAGCTGAAACGTCCGTCGATGGCTTGGCTGTAGATGCCGCCTCAGCAGGGGTCACCGAAGCAGAGCTCCCTTCTGGTCCAGCAGGAGTCGCAACTATAACAGGGTCTGCCTCCTGTGTGTTGACAGGTGGACTTTCCTTCTTGCTGGCTTCGCTCTTGGCTGCTGCTGCCACTTTTGCTGCTGCCGCTTGTTTCTCTTCTTCTATCCTCTTCAACAGCATGCTGTCTGTAGCAATGTCCTCTGCGATCTCCTGACACAAAGCCAAGAGGTTCAGCTGCTGTCTGTTCGCCGTTCTCTTAGAGGCAGCAGCCTTTTGCTCGGCCAGAGCTGCCAGACGGGCTTTGGTTCTGGCCTGTGTGTTCATTTCTTGTTTCTTCGGTTTCTCTGCCACCGGTCTCTTTTTATCATCTTCAGTCTTTTCAGCTGTGCTGTTTTGCTTCAAGCTGGTCCCACAAGTGTCATCTTTAGTTTTCTCATTAACCGTTTTCTCAGGCTCTTTGGGGGGGACTGCCTCGGGTATTTCCTGGGGTTTTTCTATTATTGTAATGTCAATATCTTCACTATCATCATTCTCCTCCTCTGCTACTATGATCTCACGACCGATCTCGATATCCTCCAGAATCTGCACTTCTTGTAGGTCCAAATTAACCTCAGCGTTCTCCATCACCAGTGCACCGCAGCTTTCATTCGTGACTTGAGCGTGAGGGTTTGCCATATCAACCTCTGAGGTATTACTGTCCATCATGGCGGATGAGGGTTGCTGGCTTTGATCAGAATTTTCAGGAACTTCAACACCTTCCTCGGTTGCGATTTCTGTCTCAATCGTGCTCCCCTGATCTAAAACCTCGCTTGAATTAGTCACTTTGATCTCATCAGTTGTTTCACATTGCTGCACTTCTGCCTCAGGGAAGACGGCTTCTTGGGAACCATTTAAAATCATTTCATTTTCCGTGTCACCTTCCAGAGCACTGTCTGGATTCACCTGTTCGAAAAGAGAGTCTGACAAACCCGATTCGGCCGCTGCTTGAGTGACAATATCGAAGTGAATTTCACCCTCTTGGATCGGTTCTAAGATCACAAACTCCTCAGATGTGCTATCTGGCATTTCGACTGTGGTGGTGGCTGTAGTCGTCGTCACCGTGACGTCTGAAACCTCCTGAATTCCGGAGTCCTCCTGCACGTGCTCAGGAAGCTCTGTGGCACTGACGCAGTCTGGAGACCCATTGCTTCCACTTGTTTCTGGGGCATCTCCTGACTGGCCATCTGGCCTGCTGATGTCATCGCTAGAGCTGATCTCTGCTACTTGTTTCACATCCTCATTCATGTTACTCTGCTCCGACTGTGCAGGGACACGACTCTCTGGCACTCGGACAGTTTGTGCTTCCATTTCAACTTCTTGGCCGTCTGAGACGCAAACTGGTTGCTTGGCACTTTCCAGTTGTTTGTTACAACGGTTTCCTTCATCAGTAGGCGAATGTCCTTCCATCTGCTGGGTGCTCTGTATGTCCAGTAAAGACACACCGTTGTGGTTCTCCGATGCTGTAGAAATCTCTCTCTCATCGTTACTTTCCGGACTACTAATGGGCTCATACACTATCTGGTTTTCATGAATCTCAACCTCTGACTGATTAACCGTCTTAATCTGCTCGTCTGACACCTGAATTACAATATCGACGTCGTCTGGTTGGCCACAAACAAAAACTATCACTTCATTGCTTCCAGCTCCTTCTGCGTGTCCTTCAATATTACTGACAGCGACAACATCACCGTCAGCCTTATCAGAGGAAATGTTTGCAGCCTCTTCTTTAACCTCATTAATCACTCGTCTCCCTGTTTCCTCTTCTAAAGCAGAATCTACCCCTCCTATTGATCCACTAATTACATCCATATCCACTTGGATATCATCAGCACTCTGCATGTTTTCACTATCCTTACTTTCAGCCATAGGAAGAGGCTCGTCAGTTTCATTTGATAAGACCACGGCGGTATCATGGACGTCCTCCGTACCTTGGTTTTGCTGTTCTGCTGCTTCAGAAACCTCCTCTGGCGTTGTAGAAGTTTCCATATTTATTTGAACCTCTGGAACATCAACACGTTCAGCGTTAAACTCGTCGTTATTTTCCTTACGCTCATAACTTATGCTCACTAGATCCGTTTGAACTTCTGCGTTGAGTTCACTGATGTCCTGGCTCCCAGGGCTTTGTGTTTCCACTGGAGGTGGTGGATTAGGACTCTTCTCTGGCGTTGCTGTTGTCTGCGCGTCCATTTCTGTTTGATTCTCAGTGGCATCCGCACATTCTGCAATAACCTTTTCCGCGTTTTCTTCACTCTCAGAATTGGCATCGATACATTCTTGAAGTACTTCAGCATCTGTAGTGAGTTTATTGACCTTCAGACTTCTCTGGTTTTGTGTTTCTACTGCAGTTGTCTGATGAGAAGTCGCCTCTGGTGTTGCTGTTGTCTGCAAATCCACTTCTCTTTGATTCTCAGGTGCACTAACACTTTCTGTGATAACCTTGTTTTCATTTCTCTCTGGAGTCTGAATCATTAGACCTTCTTGATCTTTCTCAGATATGTCAGCTGCAGGTTCGATGACTTCTTGGCTCCTCTGGGCCTGCGTTTCTACTGTAGGCGCCATGTTAGAAATCTCCACTGGTGTCGCTAAAATCACTTCATTTTGACTTTTCTGACTTCGTATTTCCACTGGAGGTGCCGTGTTAGATATCTCCTCGGATGCTGTTGTAGCCTGCATGTCCACTTCTATTTGGCTTTTATCCATTTCCACCGAAGCAGCTGGATTTGAAACCTCTGATGTCGATGTAGGCTGCATTTGCATTGGACTCTCTGACACAGTCACAAAGCTCAGCTTGTTTTCTTCCTCATGACGTTCAGTCAATATAGCAGGTTCGATGACTTCTGGGCTCTTCTGGGACTGTGTTTCTACTGTTGGCACCATGTTAGAAATATCCACTGATTCTGCTGCAGTCTCCACATTTACTTCATTTTGACTTTTCTGAATTTGTATTTCCACGGTAGGTGCTGTGTTAGATATCTCCTCTGATGCTGTTGTAGCCTGCATGTCCACTTCTACTTGGCTTTTCTCTATTTCAACTGGATTTGAAACCTCTGATGTCAATGTAGCCCGAGTTTCCATTTCGATTTGACTCTCTGGTACAGTCACAGATTCAAAGCTCAACTTGTTTTCTTTTTCCATATTTTCAACCTCATGATCCTCATGATGTTCAGCAGACATGTGTGTGGTAGATTCCCTGTTCTCCTGACTTTTTACTTCCACTGTAGATGCAACGTTAGTCTCCTCTGATGCCCTTGTAGTCGCTTCTATTTGACTCTCGGTAGCAGCAACACATTCAGCATCGACCCTGCCTTCATCTTTGCCGTTCTGACAATTCGCAACTGGCTGTTTCTGTGCTATATCGGACATGTCCGTGGTGCGTTCACTGTCTCCTGGTCTCTCCTGGCTTTGTAATTCCACTGTAGATACAGGATTAGAAATCTCTGATGCCGCTGTAGTCCATCTCTCAGGTCCACTACTAGTACATTCAAAGTTCTCGTCTTCATTTTCAATTATTCTAGAATTGAACACATGATGCTCATTAAATTCTGTAGATATGTCTGTGGCGCGTTCACTGACACCCTGGTTATTCTGGCTTTGTATTTCCACTGTAGCCACATTATTAGAAATCTCCTGCTGTGGTGTTGCAGTGGCACATTCAAAGTTCATCTCCTTTTCTTCTTCTTTACTCGTCATTGCATCTTCTTTGACTTCGACAGGTGTTCCTGTCATGTGGTCTTCAACTTTGTGGTTTCCCTGGTTTTGTTTATCTTCTTCAGGTGCTGAGTCAGACCTCTCCTCCGGTGTTATTTTAGTCCGCATGTCCACATCAGTCGGACCATCTGAGACACAATCGGAGAGCACCTCGCTTTGATTTAGCTCTGGAACTAACTCACTATCTGGTGTCGGTACTTCAGTACGGCTGTGAGTTGTTTTGTCCGGCACCTCTTGGCTCAGTTGTAGCTCAGCAAAAGACCCAGGACCAGCAACAGTCGGAGTCAACAGGAACTCCACGCCTCTCCTTTCACTTTCTTCCAGCTTTTCTTCAGACCTTCGGACTAGTTTGTTCACACTGTCACATGAGTTGGTAATTGTACCTGGTACTTCCTGGCTCACTTGATCCTCCGATTTCGATTCCTCTTTGAAGGTAACTTGAATTTTGACACTGAGGTCTGTTTGAGTCTCTGTTGTTAGCTTTTCCTCAGTCTGACTTTCTGGATTACTGCCTCCTACCATGATCACTTCTGGTGCAGAGTTTGACAACGCTTTATCTTCTGCACCACAGTGGTCTGCAGAGACGCTGGCTGCTTCTATCACTTCCTGCTCTCCTTCCTTGCTACATTTGACATCATGATCTATCTCCTCAGAAACAAACTCTGTAGTCTCCTTTGTTTCAGTTTCACCGCTCACATCTGTTCTACAAGCTGTCCTTTCATCTACCTGCACTTCAACTTCACAGCCTGGATTTGCCTCTCCAGTACTAGAATATAGTGTTTCCACTGACGTTGCAGGCGATTCCTTATCTACATCCTTTTGGCTTTGGGTGGCAAAGTCCATCTTTTCATTATCCCCCACCTTAAATGTGATGCAAGGCAAACCTGCAACTGTTGCAGTGACAGAGTCCAATATTTCTCTACATGATGCTTCCGTGTCATTATCTATGAGATTTTGGCTGTCTGGATCTTTTAATTCCTCGTGGTTACTTTCATCAGCTGCACACTCAAATCCAGTGCTAGCTGCTATAGAGACAAACGTTTCCTTAGACTCTGCTTGTGTGGCATTAACTGAAATTTCTTGTCTCTGTTGTTCAGTGTCAGATTCTTTTTTCTCCTCCTGATTCTCCTCTCCCACGCTTGAATCTGAAAATCTACCATAATTGTGGTCCATCTGAACAGGGTCTCCAGGCGCCGATGGCGACCCTCTGCTCGTCTCCTGTGTGTCAGACGCCGACTCTTCAACCTTGCGCTTCGCTTTGACTCGATTGGAATATTTTCTTATGCAGCGGGCCTTGTCGCCGTCATCCCTCTCTCTGAAGAGGTCGGTCTTACCACTGTCACTACTCAAATCATCCTCGGACTCTGTGGAGGCCGTTCGCTTCAGGGAAGCTTTAGAGTTAGCATTCTGTGCGGGAGCTTCTCCGCAGGAGGCACTTGTGGCTATCAGGAGCTTGGCTTTTTTGACAGGTGGGTCAGAAAAGGTTTTGCTGGAATCTTTTGGAGGGGAACTCTGTTTGGATGGCTTATTCCCCCCTTCCGCCGAAGTAGACAGTTTTATCTTAGTCCGTGGGGCTGCTGTGTTTTCTCGTGTATTTCCTGTTTTAAGGGACCGATTATTGGCAGCTGCTGCAGTTTTGGATGGCAGATCCTCCCCATCATCATCCAACTTCCTCATCTTGGGCTGAGAATCATGAGGAGACGATCCTCTCTTTGGGGCTGGCATTCTGTCAAAATATGTGACAAAAATATAAGTGTGAAATCAAGACAACAGAGAAGTGGAAATGCATCATACCCCAAACATTTCTAATGAATAAGCCAGGATTAACACTTTTCTTCCAGGCACTCTGCACTTTCTCTTTTCCTTTTAGGTTGAGGTGAATACAGAATATATGCCTTCAAACGACATGACAAAAATGCTCTGTGTCCAAATTCAACACTGGTATTATATTAGTTTGAACTACAATCCCTTTCTTAATAGTTAACTAGGTTTCCCAACAAACCACAAGGCTAACGTTGAACATAAACAGTGATAAATCGTAGTTCAACCAGGCGGCTAGCGAGTCACACAATGTACGATCTACATGTACTCACGTATTCGCCATCTACATTCAGTATATTAGCGATAGTGTGACAGTCGGACAGAGATTATTGTCGCCAGGAGTTGTGCAGACAGTCAGGAATGGACAGTTAGCTAGCTAGCGGCGGCTAGTGTCGCTAGCTGGAAGTCCACAGTGATGGGAGCTAACGCTAGCAGCAGCCAACTCGCAACAAATGAGCGAAACGAGACTCGCTGATCGAGTGAATAGAAGCAGGAGGCGGGCAGACAGAGTAGAGTCCTTACTGTACTAACGTCTGCGAAAAGACAAAGCCAAGACATACGTGAATTAAACTCACTTTGATGTTTTCTTTTTCAACAACAGCTGTGTTTTTTTTTTCTTGAGAATAAAAATTAACTGTACTTCCGGGGGGAAACGGCGGATGTGACGTGGCTGCTCTCCAGGCGCCACTCAAGACCAGCACGACCGAGATGGAGAGTTTTGGAAATTAGGGTTCTACTTTATTTATTTATCAGAGACAAAGATGTAGATGTGCCACATTTAAACAAATTAATGATCCTCTGCCTGTTTTGGGGTTAAAAGTTAATAATATGCGGAATACATAGACTGAATTTAGGGCAGTAGACAAAAAAATGTAAACATTTTATATTTTTATTTCTTATAAATATAAATAAAAATATAAAATGCCAACCGATTTTATACACTTGTACTGTACTTATTTTATGGTACTTTCTACTTCACTACACTTCAGAGGCAAATATATAATTTTTACTCCACTACATTTAGCCATTTTATAGCTTTAATGACTGCAGATTCAGATTACTAATATAAAGTATAAATCAGCTAATCGATTAAGATGTATTATTGTAGGTTAAGTTACCCACAAGTATATAGCTTCATTAAAATGAGTGCTATCTTTACCACCTGCAACATTAAAACACATTTGTGCATCAATAATTATAATCCAGTGATATAATGAAATAGGCCATAATGAGTACTTTTATTTTTGGTACTTTAAATATTTTGATGCTAAAAGTTTTGTACTTAAGAGTTTCAATGCACCTACACGGAGTATTAATACACTAGTATTTCTAAATATTTTCACCACTGCATGTCAGGTCTCTGAAGTCATCCGTTTGTGTGTTAAGTTTGTACATTTTCCTTTAATTATCTATCACCAGCTCTAGTGCACCCAGTCGTGGTTTTCTTTAAAGCATCTGTTAATATCGAAGGAACAAAACCATTAAATATTTGGAGAACTAATAACGCATCTGTATATTTCACTAGCATCAAACATCATACCACAAATTAGTCATGCTTTTGGCATCTTCGTAACAGGTCAGAGGTTAGTTTCATATGTCTGTGTGCACTAAATCATGGTGTAATATCTGTAATTTGAGGAAGAAGTCCGATATCAATTACTAAGTTTTGAAGAATAAATTATTTTTTTTTCTCCTCGGGATTGATTGACATGCGTGATTATCAGACACAAACCACAAAAAGTTTTTATGTGATTTTATTTTTTTAGACGTTGCAGGTATTTCATCGCCAAATCACATTAGTGGCAAGCAAAACAAGCAAAGCACTTTATAGTTGTTAGATTTAAATATACAGAGACAATCCAATATATATGTTTTGCATTTTGGCAGAGGGATGGTGATATTATTGATCAATGCACTGACAGCAAATGGAAAGCAACAGGGGGAAGGTAAAGGCATCAATAATAACATTGTGAGTGCAGACATCCTGGTTTATTTTTTCATCTCCAGGATTCCACTTCCTGGCCCGCGCTTCTTTGCACTGCAGATGTTACAAAACTGCACCCCAGGAATCTGAAAGAGGGAAAAGATGCAGGAGTCTCAATATAGAACAGCCAAGTAATGTTCAAGATTCTCACATAAAATAGAACAATGCCCGGAGAAAGATAAGCAAGCAAAACTCAACACCAAATTAAATAAATAATGTGAAGTGTTGTGTAAAGAGTGACTCAGATTAAAGTGAAGCTTTTCATACGACAGGTGTAGACTCAATGTGCTTCAAATTAAAAAGCAAACAAATTACATATACAAAATATAAAATAAAATGAAAAATAAAATGACGTAAGATTTCTATTATGTGATAAGAAGGTAATACAATAATATATTATTATTAATACAAAATGTAATAATAATAATAAAATAATTGAATAATTCTAAAATAAAAGGTTTTAGCCGTTAATCACACACTTTAAAGCTTGGGGAAAAAAATATGTGTTTTTAGTCTGCTTTTAAAAGGACACACTGTTGTAACAGACCTTTGATTCTGACTGTGACAGGAAGCATCTAACTTTATATATACTTCTAAGATGATAAAAAAAACTGTCTTGGAGATATTACATTATGTGCTTCTGGAAGTTAAGATGAGCATCCAAAATCACACCCAAGATTTTGGCACGCTCACAAGGTTTTACCGACAGGGCAGTTGAGAGTGTTTCCCTCATCCCCATCCAATATTTGATATCAACAATGCATTGGATGAAGTCATTCACTGGGGCAGTGAAAACATACTGTATATGTATAACAGTGTGTCATCACCATAGAGTGATATGAAATGTTGTATTGCTGAATATAGGAACCCAAGTGGGATCAAATTAAACAGCAGTGGATCAAGAATTGACCCTTGAGGGACTCCATATCGAATGCTGACTTCATCTGATTCAAAAGTTAATAATAGAAACATAGAAATTGAAGTAGCTTACTGTTCCTGAAGATGGTAAACATTCCTTGTGAAACATGTGTCTGCAGTGAAACACAACCACGCTGAAGGGTTTGGCCATATCTGACAGTGAAGCAAAACAACTAGCAATGAATAGCTTTCAAATGAAACACAACAGTAAAATACTTGGAAACAACTCCACAGAAAACCCACCTGATGGTAATATTGCAGCATGACACGATTCGCAAATGTTCTCCTCTGAAAAGAAAAGCAACACTTGCATGAGTACGGTTTGAAAACGACTTAATCTCCACTGCTTCTGCGTGAACCAAAAAAAAAAAAAGAAAGTGCACCCACCGTCGACCCGGACTCCTCTCATCTGTGTTCGGTGCATCTTCTGGAGCAGCGAGAGGGAGTCGGCCACCAGGATCTTCTTACACCCTTCCCTCAGAAGAATCTGAGAAACGAGAAAACAAACGCTGGTTTAATAAGTTAAACAACATGATGAAGAGTAGGGCTGAGTAAAAAATAAAATAAATATTCATAAATGTTCTTATTAATTCTAGCTATACTAGTAGAGAATAACCGTTTTAATAGCTGCACTATTGTTAAATCATCTGTAGGCCCAACACGACTAAATAAATGAAGTTTACTTTATTTACTTACTTGCAGATTGTAATCCTGGAGGATTTTTACAAGTGAATCCCTGAGGTTTGGGATTTCCATGCCCTCCTTAATGCGATGGATGAGCAGGATGGGATCCACATGAGTACCGATGTTATTAAGGAGGCCGGTGATGAATGCTGGGGAGACAATAGCAGGGACAAAGAAATATTATGAAAGGAAGAGAATGACAAAGACAGAATGGTGATGGGAGACTGTATCGTACGTGGTTTATCAATAGAGTAAGAGATGAGATCCTCCCAGAGCTCTGCATCGTCCTGCTCTTTGGCAAACTCGATGGCCTTGTCCACATCCTCCAGCTCCTCCATGATCATCTGCAGAGCGCGTCTGCAGTTCCCCATCCTGCCTGAGAGCCAACAAGCTGGATTAGTTTCCTTTTTAAATCATTTAAAAACACCCGTAAAGCAGGAAAACGGACATTAAATAACACTTACTGAGCAGGAAGACGGTCTCCTCTACAAAGTTCCTCTGCTGACAAACCTCGAGAGCCTGACAGAAAAGAGCAGACGACATAATTAATCTCTTGTCGCTTCTGGAAACTTGGATGCGAAGTAGGATGTAATAATTGTACCTTTTCAAGCGGGCAGTGTGTGCTGTCTCTCAGGAAAGGCAAGAGATTTGGACGGTCATATTCGGCATACAGGACAATCTGTCTCTCGTGGTATTTTTGGCCTTTGTGGTGATCCCGCTTAAACAGTTTATGGAGATACTGTGGAGAAAAGATGAGTCAAATCAGCTCTGGATTAAATTGTGAGGGTTAATATGATTGCATTTAAAGTTATCTCAACTCACCACATGCAGAAGCTCGGGCCTGTCTGCTAGTTCTTCCACCACCCTGTCTGTCTATTAGCAGAGAAGAGAAACAGGATCAGTGGGCTGCGGAGTTTCATCGCATCCTTAATTAAATACTGAGAGAAGCCAGGAACACTCACCGATAGCTTGTCCTCATTGTCGAGAAGCATGTCAACAGCTTTCTGCCAACGTCAATTTAGAGAATATATTATTCAAACATGTGAAAGTGAAGATAATAAAATGTTCAGTCTGCAACCAGGCTTGTACCTCTTTGTCAAAGTCCATGAGGAGTACGATCTTGTCCTCTATGGAGGAGAAAAGGTTGTGTTTGTGGATCAGCTGGTAAACATCTTTGTGCCTCAGTCTCAGGTAGATTTCCAAGGCTCTGTCGTACCGCTGGTCGTACGTGTATCTGCAACAGCGTCGAGGTTCAACAGGTTGCTTTACAAGATTTGATTTTGTGTCATTTTTAATTCATTGAAAGCATTACTCCTTCAACCCTGCAGGCACCTCAGTGAATACATCTTTGCAGACAAATATTGTCCAACCAAGCTTACACAGATACACATCATTTTGTTTTAATATTAAAAAACAGAAACTTGTGTTTGAATATGTCCCTTAATATCTATTAAATTGGTAAATTAATGCACATCTTAAGCTCATTTACAGTTCAGCCAGCGTGGTGAGCAGCGTTCTGTTGGTGGGGTCCCTCTTCAGGTGGTCGTTGACTGCCTGAACGATGGCCATGTTGTTATAAAGCTCTCCAGGCCATTCCCGGATCAGTGTGGCAAAACCCTTTGTGGACAGCAAAGGAGGAGGGACAAAGCATTAATCTGACGATCAACCAGTGGATTAACTGTACAGGACGTCCGGACTATTCAGGGACAAAGTACCTCATAGTCAGTTTTGAGAAATTCATGCAGGATCATTTCATAGATGGCCGGTCTGAGACGCAGATCCCCTCTGGGCAAATACTGACTGATGGCCTGAAAATGGAGAGAGGTGGAGCACAAAACATGTATCACATTTCATAATCGATTCATGAACACAAACACTTCAGTAATTAAGTTATATTAAGGATCAGAAATTCCTACCTTCAACTGTCCGATGGTCTTGAACCGGTACACTTCATTTTCCCATAGTTCCATGTTTTTTCC